GAGGGAAACAATAAGCCAGCAGACAGATAAATGAGGAATTTCAGAGGAGGAGGAAGTGCTATGAAGCCAGTGAAACAGAGCGGTGTGAGTTGAGTGCCCAGCTTCTTCAGATTTGACGGTCAAAGCAGGCCGCTTTGAAAAGCTAATTCCAGAATGAGAAGAAGTCAGCCATGCAAGGATCTGGAACAGACGGCTCTCGGCAGTAGTGTGGTAAGACTTTCTCCTTAGTCCAGTTAAAAACAGGGTCCTTGCCACTTAACCGTGAAAGATCAGGCTCACAGACACTTTGAAGGGTGAGGAAAATGGAATTTATTAGGGGAATAAAAGGGGGAAACAAAGCCTCTCGGCAAAGCAAGAGTCCTGCTGGCCAGGTTCCCGCCTCACAGGTGGAGCCGCAGCTTCCACCCCGGAACAGGAGAGGTCAGCCTCCTCTCCCCCTGCAAAGGGCGGGAGCTTCTGTAGGTCCACCCCATTCTTCCCGTGTGCAGGCAGCCAGAGTTTCTCTGGGGACCCCTTTATGCTTGGCTGTCTCAGTGGGAGTGGCTAATGCAAAGGCCCAAGGGAAAGAACTGGCTTCTCCTGCTAGAGGAACCTCAGACAGGCCATTGTGACCAGAAGAGCCAACAGGGATGAGCTCACTGCTGGGCTGGACCCCCTCATGCAGGGTCTGGGAGGCCGTGTGTGCTAGGGGTTGGCTGCCCATGAAGACACCACCCGCAGGGACTTCATTTCATAGAAATTTGTTTTCCACAAAACAAAAAAGTCTGGAGGAGTCCACAGCTCTGAAGAGCCTCCATGGACCCTTAAATTCCCACACGCTCTGTCACCTTTAGCATGTGATTTTCATGCCTTTGATTGCGTCACAGCTGTGACACGATTGTTCTACCCTTGGTCTTCTGTCTGAATTCAAGGTGGTACAATGATGAAGTCACCAGGAGAAAGGGGTGTCCCCATATTAAGAATGCAAATTTCCCCTAAAATCCCCCCAGCAGATTTCTATGATCAGAGTCACTTGGTCACCCCTAACTACAAGGGAAGCTGAAAAATACGTTTGTTATTTCTGCAAAGTTCACTACCTTCTTAACAGTATTTCCTTCAGTAGGAATGCTACCGAGTAGGCGGATTATTCCACACTGTAATGAGTAGCTTGGATTCTATTCTAGAGGAGAAGCTATTCTGTGGGTAGGTGGGAGAATCAGGAGTTCTTTGACCATGTGAAATTAGACTTGGCTGTCACACTGTCAGGAGCAGACTGTGTCTGAGTCACGCAGCACCCAAGTATAACATGTCAGTGGTGGTGTATCTATCTGGACAGGTCTGCGGCAACCTCTGTTCTTGCCTCTTCAGAAGAAAGAATTCAACTGAGGGGTGTAAGGCAGAAAGAGAGACCAAGGCAAGCCTTAAAGGAGGAGTAAAGTTTATTAAAAAGCTTTAGATCAGGAGCAAAAGGAAAGTACACTTGGGAGATGGCCAAGCAGGTGACTTTAGCAATCAGTGCACGGGTTGACCTCTGACTTAGGGTTTTACACGTTTTGCATCCCTTGTCCCCTGATTCTTCCCTTGGGGTGGGCTGTCCACATGCGCGGTGACTTGCCAGGACTTGGAGCAGCTTGTTTACTGGAGTTGTATACGTGCTCACTGGAGGCAATCTTCCCTTACCAGAATGTTCCTAGAAGGTCATATACCGGTTAAGCTCTACCATGTTCCCTCTCAATATGTGGCAAAGACATCTCATCAGGAAGCTGCTGATCACGACTTTCAGGTTTTTTCAGGAGACTGCCTCTTTCTGGTGCTGACTGCAACAAATTATTATTTTAGAGAAGCAGTGTAACAACGTCCTGACCATCACCTGACGGTCATACAACACTCCTAGTGGGGGTGGGATAGGGGAGAGTCCTCTCCTGCCTGTTCAGGCCGACTAGCTACCTACTGTAAAAACACCAGAGTTTCCCAATCAGTACATCCCTGGAGAACAGGTCACAGGCAAACATACATGTCCTGTCAGGCCTCAAGGCAGTCCAGGGGCCACCAGGTCCCCTCTGGAGCTCTGCTCCTTCCCATTTTGGGGTTCAGGGGTTCAGGGGAGCCCTTAGCCCCCTGAGAGGACGTTTCTTCAAGGTTCTTGGCCTGCTGCTCTCTCAAGAATGAGAGAGGGGACCAGGTGCGCTCGCAAAGCAAATATGGACCCCAAACAGTGTTGCAGAAAAGTGATTTTGTTTAGGTAGAGAAAGAGAAAAAAAAGGAGAGGAAGAGCGAGAAATTCCGGTGATGGGGGGAGGGGATCCAAACATGGAGTCCAAAGTGGTGTGGAAGAAGGGGACTTTTAACCTGGGAGGAACCCCCACCTTCTCCCCCACCCCAGGAAAATTAAAGGAGTTCCTTAGAACTTCCTGATGGAATGATTGACTTCTAACCTTCCCACACCCACGAAAATTTACACAGGCAGTTAAATCTCCCGGATGGAGAGAGATGGGAGGGGGGCATGTGCTGGGAAGTTCTTGCCCTTAAACCTGCGCCCCCTAGTGGACCCGGAAAGAGAACACATTCCGTCACTATGAAGGAGGCCTTTTTTTTTTTTTTTTTTTTTTAATTTCAGGGTTCCTTACTAATAGCATTTGTTACTGAGTCTAAGATGGCTGTCGCTCATAACATGCAACTTTGTTTAGGTACCACTAAGTGTAAAAACACTGCAATTAAGTGATACCACAATGAGCGCTTTCATTTTATACTTCCAAGAAGTAGTTCTTTAGGCTTAAGGCATGAGTTTTTAACTATATAGCACTTGTGCGCATACATAAAAAGGAAATTACTCATGAAACTAATCGGTTAGGTATTATTAAACCTTCAAGAATGTGAGTGATGTGGTGTCTCTTTAGAGTAACCCAGTATTAATTTCAGGACTCTCTTCTAAACTGCTGGCACCCACTTGCAAGTTTTGATGTGAATGCAAGACAGTGACAAGCATATCATGGCTGCTGCCTGGCCAACAGTTATCCTATCAGTGATGCTGAAATGCTGAAATACGGAGTGGGGAATGCAAGAACAACGTATTGTATCGGCATTTCCACGTGTGCCCTGACGCACAAGGAGTTAGGCAGTACTGAGTTGGACAATAAACAGGTAAGCCAAGGCGGTGGTAATCAGTCTGGAGTTAGTGGAGGGGCAGAAACAGAGAAATGGGTTTGCAGATTTGGCACCCAGAAGCATCTGCATGATAGCTGTCCACATAGGGCTGCGTGTGACTCTCTATGGGAAATCTGGATAGAGAAGAAGGCCAAAGTTGAGCCTTGGGATGCTCAAGTGATAATAAATCTAGAAGAGGGAGAACCGCAAAGCTGACAGCCAGGGTGGCCAGAGAACTGGCGGGTCAGGCAGTGAGTGATGTGGGACCTTTGGAGCAAAGGAGGAGGGGGACGCCAGCTGCATTAAGTGCTGCTAAGAGCTCAAGGAGAGTGAAAGTGGAAAATGACCGTTGGATCTGGCAGCACAGAGGTTATAAGTGACTTCCACAAAAGGACTTCCCACCGTTGACGGCAGCACAGCAGAGCTTGATGAACACCAGACAAACTGAACTGGAGGTGGTGATAAGGGGTGAGGAGCGCAACCTCCCTGAACAGTTTTGCTGTCAAAGGGAAAAGTACAGCCAAGAGAGGGGTGGCATTTCCTTCGCTAAAGCGATGAGGCCTGCCTGAATGCGAATCCAGCAAGTGCGGAAGTTAACCGCAGTGGCAAAGCACCGAGGAAGGCAGGCGAGAAGAACATGATCCAAGACACAAGAGTGAAAGATCAGCCGGCAACAGGAAAACCAAAAGTGTCTGAGGCCGGTCTCAATTAATTTAGGAAGTTTATTTTGCCAAGGTTAAGGACACAGCCTCAGAAGGTTCTGATGAGATGCCATGTGCGCAGGGTGGCCGGGGTACATCTTGGTTTTACATATTTGAGGGAGGCATGAGACATCAATCAATACATAAGATGTAGGTAGCTCTTTGGGAAGTAAAACGTGAAGTGGGGGCATCCAGGCCATAGTTTAAAGGTTTTCTGATCGGCAGTAGGTTGAGACTTCTCATCTGAAGACCTGGACTCAGCAGGAGATGTCCGGGTGGTATTGAGGGATCCACCGTGGAGACCAAGGTGTTGTCACGTAGATGAAGCCCGGGAATACACTGCGAATGTTTATCAGACGTTAAAGAGCCGGTCTACCAGCCTTAGGGGCTCCAGTGCGGATGTCTGTGAGGCCACGTTTGACTTCCACTTCCCTTCAAGGCCTGAACTCGTTTCTCAGGGTAACTTAGAAGGCCACCGGTGGAGGGGAGGGCACAGAAGCCACCCTCGCTGCTCCCCAGCGCTGCCCCGCACCCCGAAAGCAGGCTCTCCCCACGCACGTCTTTCACAAGTTCCCGCTCTCTGGGCCCCGGTCGCCGCCGCCTCTCCTCTCCGCGCTTCATTAGGTGCCGCGGCGGCAGGGACGGAGGGCCTCAGGGGACCGTCGCCTCCCCACCGGACGCCCCGGCCCGGCCGCACTGCGGGCGCCGCCACCCCGCCGCCGCGTAGCCGGGGGCCTGGCTGAGCGCGCTCACCGCAAGAGCGGTCCTCACGCTGCACCCCATTCAACCTCGCGCGACGCCGGGCCGCAGCCAGCTGAGCCCCGCCTCCCTTTCCCTCCCTTCTCCCCCTCCCTCGCCCTCCCTCCCCCCTCCCTCGCCCTCCCTCCCCCCTCCCTCGCCCTCCCTCCCCCCTCCCTCCTCCCGCGCCCTCCCCCCCTCCTCCCGCGCCCTCCCTCCTCCCTCCTCCCTCGCCCTCCCTCCTCCCTCCTCCCTCGCCCTCCCTCCTCCCTCCTCCCTCGCCCTCCCTCCTCCCTCGCCCTCCCCCCTCCCTCGCCCTCCCTCCTCCCTCCCTCCTCCCTCCCTTCTCCCCCGCCTCCGCCCTCGGCCTCCGCCGCCTACGTGGCGCTGCCGGCTGCGCATGCTCCGTACGCGTGGCTCGAGGCCCAGAGGGGCGGGCGGCCCGCGGTGACGTCACGCGCGCGCCGCGGGTGGGCCTGGCCGCGCCACGTCGGCTCCCGGCGGCCGCGCCCCCTCCCCGGCGGTGGCGCTCACTCTGCTCGCGCGGTCCCGGCGCTTCACGCGCGCGCGTTGCTCTCCCGCCGGCTCCCCGGCGCTCACACCCGCGCTCACTCGCGCACTCCCGTCTGGCCCGAGAACCGCGCCGCCGCCTCAGCCCCGCGGAAGCCCCGCCGCGCCATGTCTTCGCCTCCCGAAGGAAAACTAGAGACTAAAGCTGGACACCCGCCCGCCGGTACTGACTCATTTCCCCTTTCTCTCCACGCGTGGGTGCCGGGGGCGGGCTCGAACCCGGGGGCGCCGGGCGGGGGCTCCGCGGGAAGGGCCCGGGTGGGCGTTGAGACGGGGTCCCGGCCCCGATGCCCTCTCGAGGGGCGCGGGCCGCGGAGAGCTCGGGCGCCGGGTCCGGGACGAGCCCGCCGGGAGCTGCGGGCCCCGCGTTACCAGAGCGATGGCGCGCAGGCTGCGGTGCCGTGGGCGAGCCCAGTCGCACCACGTATAAAAAAGTTTAGGCGGATAATATTTACTTAACTTCGTGCAGACGTCTAGAAGGAAAATAACAAACAATGAAAAGTCAGTGGTGTTAATATCATGATGATTAATTAGAGGCTGCCAGTGTTTCATACCGACTCGAGAACCAAGGAGCGGAAATAATTTTTATCGTTAATCACTCACTATGGCTTTCACCGCCAGTTTCTTCCACATCCCGAATTTTTTTTTTCCCCAGAGATGCTTTTTCTTTCTTTCTTTCTTTCTTTTTTTTTTTTTTTTTTTGAGCAAATCCTAAACTTCTGAGCCAAGGCAGTTAAAAGCAAGGAAAGAGCGGTCTTTCTTAAAACATAGGGATCTAAACAGCCTTCATGCTCGTGCCACCTCCTCCCCTCTCTAGGCACAGTTCCTGTTTGCACTTTGGACTCTGGCCAGACGAGTCTGTTTCCATTTCTACTCTGCTTTCCAATGGCAGTCGGCCCATATGGAGGAGCACTGGTGAGAAGATCAAAAGCCTTGAGTCTCAAGCCAAGTCACCTCGATGTGCGGATGCGTGGGGTTCTTTTAGTGTCTTAACTAAGCACGCCTTAGTGTAATAAACAGTCTTGTAGGAACAGAAGCCTTTGAAAAACATGGCTTCTTGTGGTACATTTGTACTATTTTCTTGCACAATAAAGATTGCCGGCCAGGTGCGGGGGGCTCACGCCGATAATCCCAGCACTTTGGGAGGCCAAGGAGGGTGAATCACCTGAGATCAGGAGTTCAAGACAAGCCTGGCTACATGGCAAAACCCCTTCTCTACTAAAAGTACAAAAATTAGCTGAGCGTGGTGTCGGATGCCTGTAATCTCAGCTACTCCGGAGGCTAAGGCAGGAGAATGGTTTGAACTTGGGAGGCAGAGGTTGTAGTGAGCCGAGATTGAGCTAAAGCCCTCCACCCTGGGCAGCAAAGCGAGACTCCATCTCAAAAAAAAAAAAGAAAAAAGAAAAGATTCCCTTTATTCTCCTCTGCTGTCCTCCACTGTAGGGCGGGAATTCTCTGCCCCAGCACAATGAATAGGAACGTTCTTTAAATATGTTACAGTTCAGAGTAGGCAGTGTTTTTCAGTGGTGATGGAGGCTCTCAACAACGAAACTAACTGGCACTAGGGAAGAAAAATGCCTGATGCCAGAGGAGTTAAGAGGCATGGGGTTTTAGAAAATCATTCCACTGTAATGGAAAATAGACTTTGGGGGAATTTGTTTTGCATTGGTTTTAAGGGGGAAAAAAGTATCTCAAAGGGAGATTTTTTTTTTTTTCCTTTCTTGCTTTTTTTTAAAATGGGATTTCTTTTCAGGATAACTGACTTCCGTTCTACTACAGTGGGTCCCTGTCCACCGTGGGGATGAACACCTTGATTTCCACCTGGGGTAGGGCTGCCTCCAGGAGCTGCAGCAGCTGCCTGCCCTGGCCCTCCACTCCCCAGGGCAGGCGCTGCAATAAAGCATATCGGTTGGAATGATACAGAACCAAAATACAGTCATTAAATTGCATAGAGACCTACCCATATGGAGGTTTTTGTTTTGTTTTGAAACAGAGTCTCGCTCTGTCACCTAGCCTGGAGTGCAGTGGTGTGATCGTGGCCCACTGCAACTTCTACCTCCCTGGTTCAAGCGATTCTCCTGCCTCAGCCTCTCGAGTACCTGGATTTACAGGTGCCTGCCACCACGCCTGGCTAATTTTTGTATTTTTAGTAGAGACGGGGTTTCGCAGTGTTGGCCAGGATGGTCTAGAACTCCTGACCTCAGGTGATCTGCCCATCTTGGCCTCCCAAAGTGCCCATATGGAGATTTTCAAGATCAGAGGTATAAACCGTGCATCCTAACTCCCTGCGAGAAATTTTTTACTGGACTCTGATTTTCTTTGAATTGCAGAGTAAATAGCTAGGCTTTGAATTACAGAGTAAGTAGCTTATTTACCCCTGAAGAGGGATGAGGCAGCCTATTTGTGCTAGTGTAGCAGTGAGCTTGGGTTCTAAGTTTGAAGAAATCACTTCACACTTCACTGGGCTCAGTTTTCCTCCTTTATGAAATTTGAGGTTTGGGCCTGGGGCAAGTTGCAGGGTGGGGCTGCCTTTGCCTCAGTGACTCTCCTGTTACTCTGCAGCATCAGGGCACTAGCGCTGTTCATCGCACAGGTAAACTCCTCTGGTGACTTCAGGGCAGCTCCTTTAGATTTATGGGGTGAGCTGTTGAGGGTGGCTGTCAACATCTGTCATGTATCTCCAAGGCCATTGTTAGAGGAGTGGCCCGAGAGCAGCACCCCTCAAATGCCAGCAGCACTCCTCAGATGCACTCTACTCCTAGGTGTGACAGAGGACCCTGTGTGAACCTTTTTCAGCTGGAAGCTCCACTTGGTTAGTCTGGCATTGCCAGAGTAGGCAGCTCTGCAGGGTAGATAGTTTAAAAAAAAGAAAAAAAAGACAGCCCACTACAATAAAGTATAATCATCAAGGATAGCCAGGAGCACAGTTCATAAATCAAAATAACTGCCTGAAAAATGTCAAGAATGCTTTCATTAAGTGCTTAAATTGGATATCAGACTTGTGCCTAAATCGTCAATTGGAAATAATAAAATTCTCTTACAGTAACTATCTTAATGTTCTTTTGTGTCTTCTCTTTATTGCTGTCTGGCCCGTATCCCCTCCTGTACATCCCTGTAATCCCCTTGTTTTCCTTCATGCACCAGCGTTCGCCTCTCTGCCTGTCTTCTTGCTTCCAGAGCTTGGTCTTCTCAATCTCTTTATTCCCAGGGGGTGGCACAAAATACTCAAGAAGCACTCCTGAGTTTCCCCTCATCTCACTCCTCACTGTCCCCCATAGTATAGCAGGCCCACACCTTACCCCGCTCTGAGCTCTCTCCAGTGTACACAGGGATGCAGGTGGGAAACACTAATGAAGTTTGTTGAGTGTCACAATGTGCTGACACACTTTTAAGCACTCGACACGTTTAACTCATTCAATTAGCAGCCATCTTACTTTTGAAATACTGAGGACAGTACCATTTAAAAACCTGACCCAGGGCAGGGCGCAATGGCTCACATCTATAATCCCAGTACTTAGGGAGGCCAAGGCAGGCAGAGCACCTGAGGTCAAGAGTTTGAGACTAGCCTGGCCAACATGATGAAACCCGTATAAAATTAGTCAGGCATGCTGGTGCATGCCTGTAATCCCAGCTACTAGGGAGGCCGAGGGTGAGGCTAAGGCAGGAGAATCGCTTGAACCTGGGAGGCAGAGGTGGCAGTGAGCCGGGATCACACCACTGTAATCCAGCCTGGGCAACAAGAGTGAAAACTTGGTCAAAAAAAAAAAAAAATCTGACCCAACTGTTGGTAGTGTCTGTTGCCAACACCACTAAGCCAGTGACTCAGTGGGAGCGGCCAGAAAGGCTATTGCCTATTGGAACGTCAGCAGCCCGACAGGATTCCGTCACTGGTCAGGTGCCTCTTCTGAAGGTGGGCGATTAATGAAGCAGTTTGTAAAGGCTTCTGAAGAGTGTTAGGGAAAGGTGCTGTGCAAGTCCCAGTACTGTTATTTATGAGTGATGAATGGCACTGCATCATGTTCCAGCAAATGTGCTGTCGTCTGCAGTCCTCTGTAAAAGTAATCCAGTCTTAATGATTTGAGACCTCACCACTGCTCTTGACTGCAAAATGTTTACAGAGAAATGGGGTGAGACTGCCTGTTTGATGAGTTATTGCATATGCAGATTAGCAAAGTTAGAATTAGTGAGATTCTTTTCTGTTTCATCTAACAGCAGTCATAGCATTTCACAGCAGAAAGGAAGACGTTAATTATAATCCATGCTGTTACTCATTTCTGCAAGCCTTTATGAGTCTATGGCAGTGACATGGGTAAAATCTCTTTGTTAAATACATTTTGCTGGCCCCGTTTCCCTCCATTTCCCAGTGGAGCCAAAACCCTGTGTCAGCAGAGTTCTCACAAATCTGATACATGATAGCTTTGAATGTTACTAATCTTACATACGGTTTTCTCTGAAAAGCAGACTCTATATCCCCTCTCAAAGTCAGTCAAATGGAAATATAAACACCATTGTATTTGTTTCAAGTAAAATGGAAAATAAACCATGTTACTTTTTTTAGCAACTTCAAAGTAATTTAGTTCTCTCTTATGCTAAGTGATCAGTCAGACATGAGTTAAGGATGCCTGTCAAAAGTTGACTGTAATTCTCCCTGAATTATCTCCCTGCGGAAAGGTTTTCAGAATCGATTGCTAGAAACGGAAGACTAATTTGTCTCCTATTAAACCATGCAGTCATAGATTTGCTAAGCATAGTCCCAGTGTCAGCCAGTCAGGACCAAAGATTGAAGGTCCAGATAAGAGGTCTGCTCTTGTTCCCAACATGCCAACGAAAACAAGACCCTTTAGTTACTGCATTTTTTTTCAGAAGCTTCCTGTCAAGGCGGCCGTGGCATTTCACCTTTTCTGTAGTCTTTCCTTTTTTTTCCAGACAGGGTCTCACTCAGGCTGGAGTGCAGTGGCATGACCTTGGCTCGCTGCGACCTTGGCCTTCTGGGCTCTGGAGATCCTTGCCTCAGTGTGCTGAGTAGCTGGGACCTCAGGTGTGCACCACCATATCCAGCTAATTTGTGTATTTTGTGTAGACACAAGATTTTGTCATTTGCCCAGTCTGGTCTCAAACTCCTGGGCTCAAGCAATCCGCGCACCTTGGCCTCCCAAAGTGCTG